TACTTGCTGACAAAGTCCTTGCGTCAACAACAAAACTTTCAAAATAATGACTCCAATCGAGATCGTTGACATCATTTTTTATCAACTTCTTCCTCTATGGCATCCTATTACACCTCTGATATTATGCCTAATGGAGGTCAGTGTTTGCTCCTATTTTGTATTGTTTTATGGACTTTTGAACTTGAAAATGTTCACTGTCGCTATATATTGCATTAATCATAAAGCTTTTTTTCGATTACCGTTCATGCATCTTATGTTGAATATATTTCATGGATGAAGAACGCATGCTTAAAATCGAATTTTATGTTAAGGTAGGATTCTTCTCACATTTCTTGTATTTAAAAATTAATGAAATTTTCACAGAATCAAGAGGACAATATTACTAAGTGATGGTATCAGTGAGATTCAATTTGACCGTTTAATATTAGAGGCAAGGTCAGGTCAAGGTCATTACCTTTTTCCTGGACATGATGAATAAAAAATTACTGTTTCCAATCATGTGATCCCTACTTAAAATTCCAAAGATTGGATGGTGTTTTTTGCATAAAAAGATACTACCATATATGGCCTATAAGATGATATTACCAAATTGACATGGATATTTTAAATAAAATGGATATTTGCTAATCCGAACTTCCTCTACTTTTCTTAAATTTTCAGGATTTATTAGTTATTTTTATATGCTTCCTATATTTAACTTTTTCTAATTTTCACATATAGTAAAGTTGTCACATAAAGGTACAAAATGATACAAAAACTAAAAGTTTTGATCGTTTACTAAGAGAGAAATAACACTTTTTACGGATTTTTGGCTCAAATCTGTACTTAGATTTGAAGCATTTAAAAGACAACAAAGTTCTAAAATGTGTGAAAAATCTTATTTATTTGATTTATTTTGAAACTTTAGTCTCTTATTATTAATTTAACTTACATTTAAAAATTTCGTCTAGCCTTTGATTGGGTAAAAATTATAACTAAATTCAATGTTCTATAATAATTTTGAGAGGCAGAAAAGAAGATATTTTCATACACCACCATTCCGCCAAAAATATAGTCTCTGCTAGTTTTCAAACACAGTTTACCATTTCTATTTAAAGTTGTATAATTGTGATGAGGAAAGAAAAATATGGTCTTTTAAATCTCTTACATCTAAATATGTAAGACATATCAACAAATGTACTTTGAATATTCCATCTAGTCAGAAACCAGAGAAGAATCCTACCTTAAGCAAAATTGTGGATGAAATATATGGAAATAACGAACTGTATTCAAGTTCCTTTTTCAAGAATGATATGATTTGTGCTCTTTCGACATCCTAACTGTATCTCACATACATACTAATTGTTATTCCATTATTTTTACACTGAATTAACGACGATATTTTTCGTTATTTCCCGATCATGACAAGGACCACAAGGTCAGCTGGGGGTGCTCACTCCTTTGGTTTAACATGTACATGTAATATGTTCTTACTAGTAATAACATGTAAAAACTGAGAGCAAAGACAGAAAAATTATATACAATATTTTGAATTCATAAATGAATGATTTTGTTTACTTTCGTAACATATGTCATATACGCGCTAAAAAACGAATGAAATAAGATGAACTATAAAGATGTTTCTTTCAGAAGATGGGGATCGAGTTCGGGTCCAGGAATATGGGTTCCGGGCGGAGGAGATTATTTTCATTCTGATAGTGGTAGCTGTGTGGATCGTGGCTATGGTACTTTGCTACAAACAGTGGGACAGCATTAGGATCTTACAACCCATTGAACCGCGATACAAACACAGCCCAAAAAACCTAGAGAGTATACGAATAGTGAAGAGACCACAAGATAGCGTCATCTATAAAAACTACAGCCGAAAGCTGTCTATTACAATGGATGAAAGAGAGAAAAGGAGATTACAGAGAATGAACACCGAGCCCGTACTTCCCAGTGTGTCACGGTTCAGTGCATTACCCACAATTCATATGGAGGAAGCAACGACAGAAATGTGACATTACATGTGCCTACATTACGTCATTCCTCCCACATCATGTCCTTTATATCATGCCAATAATTTATTTTGTTTCCAGATTTCCAATCATATTATTAAGGACTCAAAAAAAACTGTCTTTGTTTTCCATCATCATATAAACATCAATTCGTTTGTACATATTTAACATATTCACTGACTTTTTTGTGTGTAGTTTTTTCTTCAAACAAAGCAATTGCAATATCTTCAAAGTGCTCTTTCTGCAGTAATGCATTTTGCCCGAATCAAGACTCCATCGATCGAATAAATAATTGTGTTAAGATTGAACCTCGCCAAATGCAGGTAGCCAGTGCGGGATTTAATCAGCAGAAAATGTTATATTGTATTGGCAGAAAACTAATTATGCTCCCCACAATCGTAAGTAATTTTATAACGTGAAGTCCCATATATACTATTCAGGCATTTTAAAGCTTGATGCTGTTGCATAACAATCATGTTTTTTCTTTTATATTTTACTACTGTTTGTATGCAATAATGTACATATAAATGTGCACATAGGAACTGATTTACGTTAGATCCGCTGGAGTAGTGACAATAAAACTAAATTACCCTTAACTATCCCGTATGCATGTATTGAAAAGGAAAATGTTTTAAATAATGACCGATACATTGTATTTGCTTTAACAATAACTTGTGAACCACCAGCCTCGATATAATGATATTAGAAATATTGCAAATGAATAGTTTACGTTTACACCTGACAGATGTAAACCTTTAAGAATCCTCGTCGATATAAGGAACAAACTAAAAATTTGTGTTCTTAGGAATACTAGACGTATAGATTTTCTTTTATATACACAAAGTTAAATATATTCTTCGTATGCTAAATATGCCTTTACTACATAAACTACTTGAAAAGATTATAATTAGTTTGTATATGTATAAAGTATATGTTTGGTGAATCCTTTCAACAACCCTTTCTCTATTTCCTCATGGTGCATCTTTACAACCTTGGCATTGTTACATGTGTACTATAATGATTAATTTAAAAAAGGCATATATCTGGAACCTTTCTAGATAAGCCTTATACAATATGTATATGTACCGCCTTCATCAAAATTGAATGTGATGGTACTTATTCTTATTGGCAGTCTTACTGAAAAAAACTAGGTATTGGTATATCGCATTTGCAAATAATTGGAAAATACCTGCGAAACCCTACACGATTTATCATGTAGTGTCTTTTAACACCTTTGCCGGTGTGTAATGGTTTAAATTATAACATTTTATTACATTTTTAAGTGGAATATTATAGCAAATTATAATGTGATTTTTTTATTACCACATTTTCTTTTTTTTTAATGAAACGCATATAGTAAATAATCGTATATAGAAATTCAAGCTCTTACTGTATATTCCATATTTTTTATATGACACAAGTATAATTTTCTGTTTAATATATTTGTAAATCACTGTCCAACAAGACAGTATGTTTCTCTGTTGTTTTGAATATGACAATAAAACTGTTTTAATGCGAAAGTTAAGAAATTTCTTGGTCTTTTTGCATTGGTTTTTTTTTTTTTTTTTGGAGATAAGGATCAGATAAACATTTAAGGATTAATCGTATTTATTATGAACAAAGGTAGCTTCTAACTCAGTATTTCTTTTGATGCTTTACGGGTTACTGTAAAGTATTAACCAAACATGCTCTACATATTGTGTAAGATACCGGTAAAACTAAACAAAGAGAGGTAATACTAGTTACAATAAAAATATTTTTTCTGAACATATCACTTTAAATTCAACTGAAAATCAATATTGATACGTATTGTTTCTTCCTTCCAAGGAAACATTCATAGCGATTGTTTTCAAAACCTTGCTGAACATATCATATAACACATAAGTATTATTTAAAGTAAAAGCTATACAAATTATTAAGTCATTGTCTGAACCTATTTAATTATCTTTCGAATTTTCAATATGCCTATCATAACAAGGAGCTTAAGGTGGATTTGATATATCGATATTATTTTAATGTTTTTTTAACTTAAATACTATTCTTTGATGTAAATTAGATGGGATTTCTTTAAAAGTTTACCGTTCTTTAATGTAAATTAAATGGGCTTTCCTATAAAGCTTTTTATAACTTTCAAAATAAAGAAAATACTTTTAAACCACCATTTTTTTACATTTTTATGGACTTTTATTTTGATTTATAATGACATTTGAGCTTGAATACTGTTAGTGATCTACATATGTTTCATTTAAAGGTGTTTAACCTCAAAAAGTTCAAATTTTCGTAACTATCAATACTTTTCTCAAAATAAATGAATAAGTATAAGTTTTGAAAACATAAGCAATAACTTCGGTAATAAAACGACACTTGCACATTGACGTAATGTTTTTTTTAATTATTTTTCATTGTCAGAATTACTTCTTTCAAACATTTATTCAACACAAAAAGTTGATATTAAAAGGATGATGGGATTTCTCATCGAAAACATTTATATTGTATCCACAGGTAAACTTTTCTGCCGAATAGTTTGAATTTCGATGGACACAAATTGTTATCCTGACCCTTATAAACCTTTTGATTAAATATTTCTATGAAGGAGCATTTAATATAATACTTCGTCCTGAATAAAGATAGAATGAATAAAAGAGAAAACAGTGAAAGTGGTCTGCAACCTAATATTGAACTTTATCCAAGACATTTGTTCTCTTTGGTGATATTTTAATCGAGGCAGTTAAGCTTAATTAAAATAAACATTTCATAAAGCAGATGTTCGTAATTGCATTCGTAGCAGAACAAACCTACTACTGGGTGGAGTTATGTCTGATTGTTTTTTTCAAAACCAAAGTTAGAACTTTGACAATGGAATATTTGGTCTGTTTGTTTAATATATAGGGCTCACGAGAAGTGTAAAATGTCAACGGGAATTCTTCCGACTTTTATACACTTTATCTTACATCTAGAATTCGTTTTTATATTTTTTTTAGATCGATGACTGTATGTTTTTATTTGTTTTTTTTCATCTTAAATTTTGTGTTGCTTTTGAAACATTATAACAATGAAACATATGGAGATAATGAAAAGTTTTCAAGCTCAGAAGTACATAAAAAATACAAAGCAGGAGCAGAGCAAACACGGACCCCAGATCTTCAAAGATGGGATTAGGTACCATAAAGAATTAAGTATCCCCTTCCGACAAGTCACATCCGACGTGTACTTCACGTCATGATTCGGAAATTATGGAAAATCTGTCGAGAATTCAGTGTGTATATACATGTAACTGCCCAGCAATTCGTGTGAAAAACGTCAGTACTAAGCATATGAATATAATATGAATATAAGGCGTAACAAAAAAATATGTTTGTTTACGGTTACCCGACCGACCCTAATTTTAATCGCCGACCCAAACTTTTTTTTCGTCGTAAAAATCCGGAAGTTACTGGCCGGTCAGTATAACTTTTACATTCATCTTTGAAATCGAAATTGAAAGTACAGAAACAAAACCAGTGAGTTCAATTTCTACATCGACGAGTTCGTGGTAATTTGCTTACCATTGCGCGGCAGTTGCAGGGGTGTACGACTAGCATCGCCCGACGCCTGGTGCTACCGTTTTTTGGGGTAGTAAAAAATAAAAATTATGCATATAATACATGAGAAACACAAACGGTATTTTCACTCACTGTTTTGCTATTTAATTTCCAACTAATGAAAATTTTCCAGGCAGCATGCTCCTACTGTTCTTTAATCACTTTAATCTTATCCATTTTGCAGTACTACCTGACTTATTTACTTAAAAAAAACGATCGTTTTTTCCTAATCCGAATTTCCTCCATGCCTCTGTTAGTGGCAAATCCATGCAGATATCTCTTTCAATTATTTACGATCCCCCAATCAACTGATAGCTAAGTGTTATGTGGTTAAAATTGAATATATATCAATTGTATTTAATGGTTTGAAATGAAATTGAAATGATTTTTCCTTCATTTTAGATAAGCAAGACTTGTGTATTTAATATATTCAGACAGAGGTTCAGAAAAGAAAGGATAATTTCTTAAAATTTTTGAACTTCAACTTTAAAAGGAATGGCTTAGGACCCTGACTTTCTCAACAATGAACTTTTTACAATATTAGTTTTTACAATTCTTTGCCCCTACATTTGGACTGGTCACTTTTAACTTCGGGCTAGTAACGTATATTTTATTGCTGTTACACGCCTGTGGGCTAGTACTTGATTTTTTAAAATTGCACACCCATGAGTTGTAAGGCAGTTGTCAAGAAAGATTATATTGTCTACCACTCATATTACAAGCCCAAACAAAAGTAAGGCACCGTACAATGGTAAAACTGTTTTGTAATTCAACCATTTCATGTACATGTAAATTTGTGTATAAAAAAATTCAGTAAAATAAAAAAAAATTCCTACCTACCGACCCTATTTTTTTTCAGCATGTAACAGTAAACGAAGATTTTTTTTGTTTGGCCTAATTATAAATTGTATTTCCTGACAGGGTCAGTGTTTCAAACTCGTCGAACAGTTTGATAACAATTATACTTAATGTAGTCAATTACATCATATAATCAAATAGCAATTTTTATCATTTGATAAAACGTGTACTTTATCAATTATCTTCAAATTAGATTAAACGGTGATTTTGAAAGGCTGTTAAGGCGGTGGACTATTTTAATTGAATCCTCTATAATATACGCTGATTTTTTTTATATCACAAGATCACATTTTCAGCGCCTTATTATCTTCTAAGTATTATTTACAGTATCAAAATCTCTATTCCTAAAGTTTAAGTTCTGTATTTTTGTACATCTCTATGCCAATGTTAAATTTTTTAACAGTTCCATATATTATTTATATTTACTTCCTTCATTTCCGTATTTTTAAATATATGTGTGTGTGTGTGTGTGTGTGTGTGTATGCCAATGTTAAATTTTTTAACAGTTCCATATATTATTTATATTTACTTCCTTCATTTCCGTATTTTTAAATATGTGTGTGTGTGTGTGTGTGTGTGTGTGTGTCTCTACTTCAGTTACTATGGCAACAATTCCTAAAACGTTATTCCCCAAGTGTTTTCCCAAGATTGTCCTACATGTCTCACACAGGGTGTTTCACAATATATGTCACACATCTACATAGGCATACTATGAATACTGAGCATGATACCAAAAATACCAAAACACTATATGTAAGCATATTGATCTAAAATTATGAAATTGCAAAGTATTAGGGGAAATTTTAGTGTACCATGAAGTAACTGATGATATAAGCAGTGATAACATAATTTCAGCTGTTTTAAAAATGGAGTTTAACTTGCAGCAACAATTTGTTGTAAACTTTTATTATACGAACGAAATCCTAAATATTGTAAAGGGTGTGATGATGAAAATTATCCAGACCAGAAATCCCTGTCTAGTTTCAATATATTAAGAATGATTAGAGAGTTTGAACTAAAATTGTAATGTAAAGATGAGAGGCAGTTAAATCCTACCCCCCCCCCCCCAAAATAAAAAAAAAACGGGGAAAATCAAGAAGAGATGAGAACAATATCAAAGTAAGGTCTATCATTGAGAAAACCTCATGAAAGTTAAATCTGAGTTTAGGTAAATGGATTGTAAAAATGCCGATAAGTATTAATTTAGTGTATTTAGAAATCTTAAGTTTGAGTTAAGTGTGTCTGCATACAAGATTTCACCTTTTAAAGCCAATTGACGTTTAGAGCTGGTTGAAGTTTGCAAACGAAAGAATTGAACACTAATTAACACATACTGGTAGTTATGAAACGACACATTTATTTAAACACAACTTTAAATAAAAATAGATATGCACTTTGGGGGTTCTAAAAAGCTAGATATAATGCAAGAAAAATCTCAAGTATCCCGTGAAACTTTAAAAAAAAAAGGGGGTCAGAAATTTCTATGCATTAGTCTCTTAAGTTATTTAGGACAATCTTGGGAAAACACTTGGGGAATAACGTTTTAGGAATTGTTGCCATAGTAACTGAAGTAGAGAATGTTGGATACTCCTGACCCCAAAAAATAATTTTGGATATATGCTGAATAAAATGATATATGAAATGTATGTATAGCTTTTGTTGTTATCTATCTATCTGTCTTTAGATGTGTGACATATATTGTGAAACACCCTGTTTATATATATATATTTGGTTAAGCGAAATATTTAAACTTAGAAACACTGATACCGATGGTAGATTTAAGCATAACATTGAGTAACTTACCCGTTCACGGTTGAAAGATAAACTACATGTAGTACACACGTATAGGTTGACTGGAGAAGGTTAAATGTTATGAATTCAAGGTATTTCCCAGTGATTAATTTCCTTTTTCGTAATGTACAATCTCGGTATTTACCTGTTGATTCTCCTGCTAATTCTTGATATATCAACCTCTGGGATTTTGTTTGATTACCGATTGAGGTGTCCAGATACCGCGGAGAAATGGAGGGAAAACAAAAACAGTTACATCTGTCATGGCGACACGGAGTATCACTGCATGCATGACCAACATGGGCGTTACGTAGTTTTCTGTGCATCCAGTATTTGGATTCAACCAGGTAAAAATATATGTATATTTTCTAAAAATTTGGTATTCATCAGAATGATGTTCTATTGTTCTATTTTTACGTCCTCCGTCCAATTAAATAATTCAACTAAATATTTACACCATGTGTTGTATCTTAAAAAAAACAACATTTTTCTAAATATTTTACAAATATTTCATTGAAAGGCATTCGTTAAAAGGAGGGTTGCAGTTTATCTGCATATACATAAAAATGTAACTCAATACGTAAAAAAAAAAGCACTGATAGGGGTATAAAAGAATCCTGACTGTTTAAATACCTCAAGATTAAAAATAACGTTTTCACAGTGAACATTGTGAATTCATTATCGTTTGAAAGATGTATAGTTGTATCATAAAACTTTGAGTGTCTGTGTTTTATGGAAAAACAAATAAATGTATGATAAAAGTTTTACTTCTTCCTTAATACAGATTACTGTCCAGAATTTAACGCAAAAGCTTCCCTGATTGATGTAATTCTTTGTCAGGGGGCAGTGGACGGATGTCCTGGGAATGTTTACCTGTCCAACACTGTATATCAATGTAGGTCAAACTTTACCTGTTATCCACATCTTCATTGATAGAGAGAATAACTTAAGTTTGTACTAATGAAATACGTGACACAAAATGTTAACGCATAAACTGTTGATAAGAAATAATGAAACCTGCATTGTTTATTTTATCAAATTAATGTATGTGATATCACCGTTCTAAAAAATGTCAAAATAGTAACTGCAAGTAACAAATCACGCACTGTTAACCGTATAACGTTCAACAAACAACAGAAAAATGCTTGTTATTTGTTTCAGTAGTTGTAAAATATTTTTTTTTGTTTCTTGAATTAATAATTGAAATGAACATTTTCTCTTCTTAGACCCAAGCTGCTTTCGGACTGTAATCAGGTATTTTTTTTAACACGAACTTTTCTTTATTGTTTTCACATTTAATTTTGAATGAGAAATCTATAATTTAACAAGGATTTAAATATCTAATTTGAAGCATAGCTTTTTTATTGACTAGATCCAACAATATCTGTTTTTCTTAGATCTACTACAACCACCCCAGTTTCTGATAACCGAACAGTAACAAGACTAACAAAGCTGAGATACACGTAAGTGGTTAAAGAAATTTACAAATGAGCGTATTTATATGTGAAAAGAATGCAATCAATAACATATTCTTTGATTTTAGGACCACGATGCAGACTAAACTCGGTAATGAAGAAAAAAGGTACATATATACGCCACCTATCGCGTATCTTTAAACGTAATTAAATGTTTTTTTAAAATAATGTTAACTTTACTATTTGCCTATCACTCTAGCCGTAACCCAGCTTAAGCAAGATGTCAGTTTAATTCACAGTCAATACAATTGAAATATCTTTCCAAATGATCATGAAAATGACATATTAAGTAAATTATATGTTTCAATTTTTCAATAAAATTTTCTTTTCAAGAGATTTGACGGTTTCGACTGGTGTTATTTTGGGGATAGTCTCTGGAATCATCCTACCGATACTTGTTTTCCTGGTAATTATCTTCCTCCTGAGAAGGAAAAGACAGAAAACATATAAGGAAGGTATTTAACACACATTGTTTATAATTAAGATAAAAATCTTAGTCTATACAGCTTCAAATTTTTTTGTTCGATTAGAAATGGTAACGAATAGTAACAAGGCTCCAAATCTTTATCTAAACCTCTTTTTAAAGTAACATAATTCATGAAATATTATAAGCCACAGTTTTCATCCTAATTTTGTAAGGTCTTTGATTTTTACAACGTTTGACAGCGGATTTTTCCGTTACGAGCGGGGTCATGGATCAACAGAAAATGAGTGCTATCCTAGGTACCTGATGAAACCTTTACATTTGGCGTTGGTCGGAGTATTACGTCAGGAACACATTGTGTGTCTTGAAGACTTTCAGATCCACCACTTTGTTTTCAATTCACCCTTTACATTCTCGAGCTAATTTTAAATAATTTTAAATATCTAAACATATTCTGGGTGTTTACATTTAAATACATGTATTTACATTTGCAAATGTTTCCTTCGGGCGTTATAGAATTTGATCACGTGACCAACTTCATGACATACACCAATGAAACTCTAAAAATGATATCTTATTTCTGAAATAAATATACGGGGTCAAGAGGTCATAGATGTGCGAATGGATAAACGTTCGACGCAATTTTCCAGTGACGTCATAAAGGGTCGACGCGCGTTCAGTGGATTACATACATGTCGTAGATTTTAAAAATAATGCATTTCACGCGTTAAATGTCACAATCAGGCAAATATAAAATATGAATTAGTCACAATTATAAATATAAGTAACAAGGTATCATTTTAAAACATCTATAGGGCTATAAATACGGGTTGGTACGAGATTAAATTCATCATAAAGCCCTTTAATACGGGTAGGTACGAGATTAAATTCATCATAAAGTCCGTATTTATATCCCGATAGATGTTTTAAAATGATACCTTATTTTATATATAACACTACTGAAAGTATAAAAAGTATGGCTGCATCAACAACTAATAGCAGATAATCGGATTCAATCCTTATTAAGTTTTAATGAATACATGTATCAACTTTTTTTTCCTTACAGAAAATAAATCGTACGTAAATTATTCCAAACCAGACTATTTGAAAAAAGAAGGAACTGAAATTTCAGATTCAGGTAATCATCACTCAGCTTATAACTTAAAGAGTGATATTGCTTACAAATATTTAGTTGATTTTATTTCACCTAGGCTCTTCTTAGTAGTTTGAAAATATAGCCCAGATTATTTATTAGACGCTGATCGGCTTTGATATGTTCGTTTTCCTTTGTTGACAAACTAATATTAATACACAGAGAATATTCCATTGAAAATCAAAATTTGTATCACACAAACTAAACCCGACAGTCCAATATCAGGCGAGAGGATCAAAAGTCCGAGAGCTGATATCGGTCGATAGATAATATAGGTTGTGATGTAGAAAGGGTTATAATTTATTATGATAGATACTTTCTTAGTAATAAAATACAACATTGATCAACTTGATAAGAGTACGAACTAAAATGACTCAATATTTATCAAATACAATAAGTAATCAATTACGAGCTTAAATTATTAAATCAAATTAGTAGAGATGAAAAGTACAAAAGCAAGTTATAATATTTTTGCTCACATGGATCAACATTTGAAACATAAGCAGACCACTTTAAGAATAGAGAAAAATAAGACCTTAAATTTTAAATTGTACATAACGTTCCATTTTAAACACTATGTACAATTATGTGTTTAACTTATATGTAACTTGTAGGACATATAAGCGCTTTAATGTTGTATTTTATGGCGGGTGTGACCGGTCGGCACGGGACGCTCACTCCCCCATGGCATTTGACCCCACCTCTGATGTTTTGAAGGTCCGTCTTTCCTCTGCTCCTATTTTATAATGTTAAATGGACTATTGACCTCATATAGTGTTATCTCCAATATTCTATCAAACAGTCCAATATTTTGATACCGCAAAAATATCAGGTCTCTATCTCAATGGTTTATCTTGATATTTTATTTGGATATTTTTCTTTTCTCTACTCAATTATACGTTTATTGTAAAAGTGATACACAGGAATACATGCTTAAAATAAATCCTTCAAAGCACATGAAGGGAAACAAAAGATTTACAGAAGCTTTATTTAAATCATGAAAAAATATTATCATTCGATTCTGGGAGTTAAAGTATAGTACACAGTCGATTTCATTTATTATATGGCACACTGTAGATTGTATATTATGTTCCATTTTAAACACTGTGTAGAATTTAAAAAAATCTTTAAATTTCCAACAATATGAATAAAATTTAATTTTTTTTTCTTGCAAAGAAATGTAAAGAACCGTGTTTAATTGAAATACGAAAGAATAAGATTTATTATATTAAAAAGTTCAAAAGATGGAAAACTTCGACGAAAAAATTTCTTCAAGAAAGATAATTATCATCAATATTCATTTTCTTTTCAAGAGACGACCCCATGTTTAGAAGATTCAACCAAGGAAAATGATGAAGAACCGAGAAAAGAAGGTAATATTTATCAGGTGAAATATAGTTTAAATAATTGTATTTAGGTTTAAAAATCTGCATGAAATACTTTCAAAGTTCATTATGTACATATTTATCTGCATGGGATTGACTATAAAAACGCTTATGCTCATTGAGAAATGAAAAATGGACGTTAAATTTAAACAATCGATAATGATTTACAACAAAATGATATGACTGCCGTCACGAGAAAAGGGCCCTTAAGGTCAAATTTTCATAAATTTTACTTTTTGGTAAATTTTGATACCCGGACTCTTTCTGAATGCAAATATACATAAATTTTGAAAATATCTCACTTTTTCAGTATTTTATAAGCATTTTAGTAAGGCGCACCAAAACAATTTTTTCGTTACTCACTGAAAACGTAATGACGTCGACTGCGTCAAATTCAATTTCCAAAAATTCTAAAAATAACGCTATTTAAATAAACTCAATCGTTTTGAGAATTATAAACTTGAGAAAATATTTATTTTTTTCTTCCAGGCGACTAGTATGTGACTATTCCTAAGGGATTTCGTATGTTATAACTATTTTCACACTATTTTAGAGCAGATCTATTAATATCGAAAAGGGGGGATGTGGGTCTAGACAGAATCTATAGGAACGGTTTATAATATATTCAGTAGGAAAAATTATACTTGTTTACATCCATACGAATTATTCTTTTGATATAAATCAATCTCACTCAATTTATAATATATATAAAGCACTGGTAACTCTTAAACATTAAAAGAGAGAGAGAGAGAGAGAGAGAGAGAGAGAGAGAGAGAGAGAGAGAGAGAGAGAATATTAGAAGGACGCCGCGCGCAAAACGGGACATCCCCTCGCAAAAAAGCACTTCGATCCCGATATTAAAAAGAAAATAATTTTCTTATCAGTTATCAAAATTCATCATTCACTCACCATTACACACACACGTAACTTTTTTTCCTAGAACTGTTACGATAGGATCAAAACAATATATATTTTTGGTATCACCGAAAAATGAGAAATAAATGCTGATACGCCAAGATATGTAAACTTAAAAATGTTTATTCCGTTTATAAAAAAAATATGAATGCATGAATTGATGTTCGCTACTTCCATGCAAGCGGATTATCAATTGTTTATTCAACTCATTTTCTTCGCCTGTCTTAGTTATGGTGTAAAAATATAATAAAAAGGCAAATGATGTCAAAGGATTGTCTTATGAATGGTTCATATACTTTACCTAAAATTGAAACTTTCTTTGAACTTCTTTTTTTTTAAAGTAAATCACGATTAAAATCGGTCACAAATATTTCAGCACATTCACCCTTTTTTTTTTTTTTTTAAATTTTGAGGCACCTTTACCCTGTTTCACTTGAACATAACATTTGTATATTTTTCTACGGCCAGTAAAGGTCATCTTTTCATCTTCCTCAGTGACATTGGTAATCTGACACCTAATAAAAGCTTTTCACATTTCGATGCGACTGTTTTAACCAATAATGAAATATTACGTCCAACACACGTTTATGTATTTTGTATGAGGCGATGCGGTTAAGTTATAATCCACCACTCTAATCCATTTCTTCTTAGTTATTAGTTCAAAACATACATGTACTACTTTCTCGATGTATCGAATTAAAATATATATGTATGACTCGATTTCGCCTGTTCCCTACAACTCAGTGACGTAGCATCGTTTGAAAAGGGGGGGGGGAGGGGCAGCCAGAATTAAACTTCAATTTACCATTAAAAAAAAAAAAAAAAAAAAAAAAAACGTGGAGATTTCCAAACACGAATCAAATTTAGCCGTTGGGGGGGGTTGATTTAGATCAGACTTTTTGCAGTATCATTTTTTAAATCAAGCGTAATACACTGCCTTTTGTCCTATTGTGCACTAATTTTACTATGCTGCAACAAAAAGTGGGGGGGGGGGGGCAACCGGACTTTCAATGAACCCCCCTTCCCCGATGCTACTAGCGTGTGACTGTAATATAGACAGTATTTTTCTTTCAATGCAGAAATATTTGAGTATGTTTATTAATTTCTTTCCTTAGAGTATTTCGATTTCAACGGAAATTTAATAAATGTCCAGATATGTGGGATATTTAGATACATGTACATTTATCAGAGTTGCAGATTTCAACGTAAAACAAGACTTATTTACTTCATGTCATGAATTCAGTAGTCAGTGACATATATCTCACGCTCCTTAAAGTTTTGCACGAACGTCCTTTTTTCTGCAATAAACATCATCAGTGCTAAAATTTATTTTTTCATCATTCGTAAATTTAGACTTCTTTGTTGTCTAGGGTTTGAAGTGGTTTATGATTTTAAACATTTTCATAAAATTCATAAAAAACTGTATATTTATTGCACACAAAAAGAGCGCTGTTTCTTTAATTTATTTCTCCATGTTTTAAAATGCCAGCTCAAAATATTACGAACTGTGTGTTCCTAGCATATTGTTTCACTGTTTTCACAATAAAACATCCCTTATAATTGTTGTTAATAGGCCTC